TCTCCCCCCCCCCCGGTCCTTGAAAAAGTGTTTGTGCTTGAAACTGGTTGGGGACCACTGTTCTAGAGCATCAAGAACCCACAGAATCAGGCGAGTTTATCATTTGCCTCTTTCTTTTGTCATAGCACCAGCAGAATTGCATTCCATTAAGAATAGGTAGGTAGAAAATATTTCTCACTTCAAAATGATAATAATTCGTCTTACCGTGAGATCCCGTCTCCCCCATTTCTCCTTTCATTCCTGGTTCTCCTTTTAGTCCAGCAGGCCCAAGATCCCCTTTTGATCCCTTTTCACCATCTAGTCCAGAAAAACCTGATATAAAAGAGATGTGTGCATTTAATAATTATTTTTAATTGAGCCACCGTGCTGTGTCCAGTACTGAATTCAAGAGATTTAATCTTATTGTGATTCATGCTACAGTAGCTAGTCGCAGGGATGCAGGGGTCTTATATAATAAACTTTGACTTGCTTTGCTGTGTTGTCATAGTGCAGGGGTGTCAAACTCAAGGCCTGCAGGCCAGAGGTGGTATTCAGCAGGTTCTGACCAGTTCTGGAGAACTGGTAGCAGAAATTTTGAGTAGTTCAGAGAACCGGCAAATACCACTTCTGACTGGAGATTTTACAGTATCCTTCCCCTGCCATGCCCACCAAGCCACGCCCACAGAGCCGGTAGTAAAAATGTTTGAATCCCACCACTGCTGCAGGCCGCATGCAGCCTGCAGGGTGCTTAGATCTGGCCCATGGGGCCGCCTTGGAAACAGCAAAAGACTGGCCTGCGGTGCCTCTGCCAGCAAAAATGGAGCTCAGAAGGGCTGCAGGCAGCCCTTCTGGCCTCCATTTTTGCTGGCAGAGGGCTACAAGAGGCCATCACAGCCAAAAACGGAGCCTCAATGAGTGATGTTGAGCTGGCCATGCCCACCCTGACCATGTCCACCCCAGCCCCTCAAAGTCAAACACAACCCTGATGTGGCTGTCAGTGAAATTGAGTTTGACACCCCTGTCATAGTTCCTGGCTTTCCCCCAAATGATAAATCATAAATCATAGCTTAACAAACCATGATGGCTCTGTTCACACCAAAGGCAAACCTATTGCCTAGCATGATATATGCAACAAGAATGGCCGGGTTTGTAAAGATTCAAGGCAAAAACCCGATGGCTAGTTTGCAGCCCAGGGTATCATTTGAATGAAGCCCTGATAGCTAATATACGGTCCAGGGTGCTGAACAAATGAGGGAACTGGGTTAATTCAATATGGCATGATTAAGTAAACCTGGGTTACAACAGAGAAGACAAATTGTGGTGCACATTCACCATATTCTGTGAAGATGGAAAGCTGCAGTAGATAGGGCCATGTTAGAAACAGGTCATATTATGCACTTGAGCAGTCCTGGATTTACTGATCCAGTTTTACATTTTTTGCATGTTTTTCTTGCCTAAAATTATAAGAAATGATGACTCAATGAATTTTAAGTATATGGTAATTGAGGGAATTCCAGGTGTCCAGAAGGAGGAATTGGGGCTGTTCACATTGCACATCCCTCAGTTAGTATGTTTGGCACTAATGTATCGTAATTTGAGGAATTATGGCCGTGATGGTGAACCTATGCCATGCGTGCTGGAATTGGCACGCAGAGCCACTTCTGCCAGCATGCAAGAGGTCACCCGGAAGAGCCCCACTGCGCATACATACGCACCGCCCACCCTCCAGCTGATTGTTGGGTATCTGGTGTGCATGCGCGGGGGCGGGGAAGCATGGGAAATGCATGTGCATGTGCAGAGATATGTGGTGCATGGGGGGGATCATGTGCACATGTGCAGGGGAATGGGGGCCGTGTGCATTGCCTTCTGGGTACTGGCATGTGAGTTTAACCTTTGTCAAAAGGTTAGCCACCGCTGAATTATATGGCATCTGGGCACATAATTTCATAAGAAACTTCACATTATCTTTAATAATCTTTCTGTCATCACTCCACTCTCCAAATTTGAATGGTATATCTTTGCATTGATGGTTGTGCAGCTATGAATTAGCACAAGTTTGAAATGAATGTTACGCATTGGCTATACTAAAAGAAAGATAGAAATATTTGTTCAGTATTTGTAGTCATTACAAAATCACATATCTCTATAGTATGTATGTGTATGTCGATCTATCAGTCAGTCTGTCTGTCTGTCTGTCTCTTTGTCACTGTCTCTCTCTCTCTCTCTCTCTCTATCTATCTATCTAACATCTATCTATCATCTATCTATCTATCTATCTATCTATCTATCTATCTATCTATCTATCATCTATCTATCTATCTATCTTCTATCTATCTATCTATCTATCTATCTATCTATCTATCTATCTATCTATCTTCTATCTATCTATCTATCTATCTATCTATCTATCTATCTATCTATCTATCTATCTATCTATCTATCTATCATCAACTGATCTATCAGTATCTCTGTTTTTGTCATCTACTATATACTAAATCATCTCTAAATATCTCATTGACTGCACATTAGTAATAATGTGGCTTCATTTCAGCAAAATGGCCTTGCTGGTTTTATTTCAGTCTTGACATTGGAAAATGCAGTTGCTCAAGTTATATGTATTTAGATCAACCTTTCCAAACCTTGATATGGTCTATAAACAGAATTAGGTTTAAGACACATGACTGTTCCTGACTTCATATCCACTCAGGAAGATAGTTAATAAGAGGGACAAGAAGTATATAGGCATGTAGCTTATAAATGGATCAGAGTTGTTATATTCAAACTGGGTCAATGCTCTAAATTCAGAACTGAGTATTTGAAAATGAGACCTTTATTACCTTGGTCACCTTTTATTCCTGGAACTCCTCTTTCTCCTTTGGGACCTGAATATGAAGAAAAGCAGATTCTTATTTTTATGATGGTCTTCAAAGTTTCCTCTCCCTCTCTCTTTCTCTCCCTCCCTCCCTCCCCCCTCTCATACATGCACACACACACACAGACTCACTCACTCACTCATAAATCAGCATCAGAAACCAGTCACTAAATTTATGTTACTACAACTGGCGCATTTTCATTGCTGGAGGTGAGTTATGGGTAAAATTCAGATAGTATCTGTTTTTGGGTGAAGGGAATGTATAGTCATTGGCCCTAATCTTCCACCATGTATTCATCTGGCACGAGATCTGAAGTGCCTACATGTACAGAAATTGTCTGCTCTTAGACTTCATATATGTAATAATGGGATACATCTACCAGGCCCATCTTAACAGCATTATGGCCCCTGGCCCCTGGGCAAAGCAGTGTACTGGGGCCCCTGTTTGATACTTACTCACAGGAATAAAAATATAAATGGTCGATAAAATTAAACATATATTTGCATGTTAGTATTAATTTTAAAATGCAGTAAAATGCCTGTATTTATATGATACAAGGTGCACTGAAGGCTTAACATACACAGATTAATATGGGGCCCCTATGCTCATGGGACCCATGGGCAAATGCCCATCAGGCCCATGAATTAAGACAGCCCTGCCATCTACTCAAGTGTCCAGCTATCCAAACCAGCCTATTTGCATCAGGGATAGGTGAATCTGTCAGTTCTGATTACTTTCTGCGTCTAATCTTGCTCCTTTCATTCCTTATATTTGTTCCAGACAATTTCTGCATCTAACTGCTTTTCTTTAATCCACATGAAAATTCATGTGCATTTTCTTGCACATTTCTCCCAGAATATATATTTCGTGCAAGAGACGTATTTTTGGAAAGTGAATTTCCTTAATATGATTTCTTTAATTTTCTTAGTTGGCCTTTTCTTTTTACATTATTTCCATTACCCTATCCATTTTCAAATACATTTTTTTTAAAAAAAAAAAACTTGCATGTATATTCCTGCACTGCAAATTGGATAATAGGATTAGTTCTCCTTTTCCTTTTACAAATAATGCACAAATACAGATTACTGCTGATTTCTGTGGATCCATCCGTCAATGGTGTTCAGCAGGCTCATTCTCACAATCCCTGATGAATTTGGAAATACAGAAATGAACAATTTAGTAGCCATACTTCAAATGAATGCTGTAGAGCAGCTGGTCTTGCCTACTTTGCTTGCTAGAACTCAGGTGTGTATTTGTTGTTTGTAGAATATCATGCGATTTTAGTTGCTTTCAGATATTTTATAGGAATTAAGTTGGACCCAATAAAGGAAAATATTTGTAGCTCAGGGTTGAAATGAGGGGTCTTTGGTGCTCTCTAAGGTTGCTTTAATTTACTTAGTTGGAATAATGAAACATCTGCAAGAAAACAAGCAAGCTGACAGAGCACCAAGGATCCCTCAATTAAGTTGGAGCAATAAATGAAAGAATAGAAAGTGATTAGATTAGGTCATGCTATAGTTACCTACCAGGAGGTCCTGCAATTCCTTGAGTCATGTTGCTTTTAATTTGGTCTGAAAAAGATATTAACATCTGTTGGAAATAGCATAAGTCTGTAACTAAAAGCAAAATAGGGGGCGTGCATAAGCGCACCGTTTGTGCCTACAGTCCCTGTCCTATTGTTTCTTTTTATTTTTCTTATAAGTATCTATCCCATGTATTCAAAACTATGCTTATTCTTATACCTGTATCTTGTAAGCGATTGACAAATCAAATAACTACTAAATACTAAAAAAGCATTTTCACACGCTTATTATCAAGCTACATAGCTACTCCAGATGTCAACCCTATTTTAATATTTCTCCAGTTATGTGCAGCATTACTGTTTACAACATTCATTCCTCATTTTTTTTTCATGGATTACAGTACAGTATGAACATTTGTAGCATTTGTTTGAATTCTACTCTTAGAAATATCAGTATCATTCCCATGCAAAACAATTAACAATTCCTTTCTAATGTCCTTATTTCAGTTTCATTCCAAACCATTCCATCGCTTTATTGGCCATGACATTTCCAAGATGTACAGAAGGGCCTTCTGGGTATTTATAGCAAGATCAACAGATTTCCACTCAATTACTGCAGACTCTAATAGGTTCAACACCTTTCATCAAGCTACAAGTCTACATGAAGAAGAAACAAATGTACTAATGAAATACAGACAGGTTGGCATATAATCAGTGTAAAAAGTATTTTTGGGTCTTTGCTAAGGTGATTGAAAGGGATGACACCCAATCCCAAACAGTAGTACTGGGGGGGCTAGTGCATGTTAATGTGATTATTCTGGTGGCCTTGCTGTGAGTGACAGCAATAGCAATAGACATGCTTCAGACAGTTTTCTGAATGTTGCTATGTTGCTATGTGACTGACTTTACCTGCTATTTAATCCAACCCAGATCATAATCCAACACAATGCCCCAGATCAATGATATCTGTCAGCTCTATATCTGTCAGCCTGGTAGACCAAACAGGAAACATGACCAGATAATCTAATTCTACTTTATTGTCAAGCTACACAATCTGAAGGTAGAATTCTCCTGTTGTCTCCTTTACAGCCTGAAAAACTAAAACTATGGAAGAGCCTTTCTGAATCTCTTGCCTCACCCACTATCCAGCTGCAGGCTATGCTGTCTCCTATCCTTAGATGGCATCACTTTGTTCTATCTCCCAAGGTCTTTCCCACATATCATTACAACATCATAGCTTCTACACCAAAATGATGAAAGCACCAAATTGGATCCTTCCTTCCTTCCACCCACCCACCCATCCATGATCACTAGCAAATGGTACATGCTTTTATGGAAATACTCTGGTCATCTTCAGCATAAATTGGGAGTGTTGGAAAGGTCTTGATCAGAAACCTTTGAGATTATAATAATTGTACATTTGCTTCACAAAAAAAAGTCTATACAGAATTTGATTTTAATGGTTTAATGGAGCAAATTTAATTTTTTATATTCAAGTTCTTGTCCATGAACTCTTGCAAAGGAGCAAAGGGAAGAGCATAAACAGAAATGTTCCCTGAATTATAAATGTGGCATTTGAATAAAGAAATCCATTCTATTTTGTATACAGCATTCAAAATACTTAATATGCACAGTAGGAGGATGGACAAAACAAAATAAAACTGCATTCAGATTACGTGAAGCTAGGATGTACCTGTAATGTTTGCCATTTCCCACTGTAGATGTTGGTTGCTCAATTTCATTACATGAATTTCTTGTTTTAAATTGTGGATCCAGTTTTCTTGACCACTGTGAGCATTGATTCCAAAAAAGGTCTCATTCTCCATGGTGACATTATTGACAAGATGATTCATTAGTATTGCTTCTCTGGCTTCTTTCATGTTATTTATAAAGTTGTGCATCGTATAGACTAAGAAAAATTGAACAGAAAGTAATGAAATGGCTAAAGTTTATTCACCATTACCCAAACGTGCTAATTTTCTAAGTTAAATGTTCATTTTTCTACATAGCCCTGGGAGAATGTAAAATTAGGTGAAGAACTTTCCTGTTTTAACTAGATCCTACTATATTGTCAGGGAGCCTTGTTCTCATGTTTTAAATGTTATCTTGAAGTTGTAGAAATAATAATATTTTGTGAAAACTCTCATCAGGATGTGTCCTTCCATGCCATATCTGGCCAAATCACTGGTCTATTGCTATTGTTAATGTTACATAAAACACACCAAACCAATTATTGTAGCAGGATCCTATTGACTCTTTCACATTTCTATGACATGAAAGATACAGAATAATTCAGATTCAAGCCTTTTCAATATTCATGTTTTATTCTTTCACTTTAATTAATAGGCAACTATTTGCTACTTCAAAGTTAGTGTTTGAAGGAAATATATTGCTTTATGCAATACAATTTAATCTGATATTTAAAAGTGGCAACTGTGGTATTGGCAAAGCAAGAAAACATTAACTATGGACATTCTCTTTGGAATGGTATGTTCATTTCCAAAGGGACGGCGCTGACCAGAGACTTCATTTATTGAGATATGTGTTTTCTAATGTTTCTTCTAGTTAGACAGTGTCATCAGCACAAGGGACATAAGTTTGGGCAGACTCAGGGAGACAGTGGAAAGCAGAGGTGCCTGGCAACCTGTGGTACTTGGGATTGCAAAGAGTCAGATTCAATTTAGCAACTGAACGACGATAACAAAAATATTTTTTCAAAGAAATTGAGTGGAAGTGAAAGATTTTCCAATCTGGTGATCACTTCAACATTAGAGGGTAACTTGTATGATTTTCCCATCTCCTTTCTCCTTGTCTTTTTTCTATACTTTAATGTCCCACTTCCTTTTTCTTCTCTCTCTCTCTCTCTCTCTCTCTCTCTCTCTCTCTCTCTCTCTCTCTCCCTCTCTCTCCCTCCCTCCCTCCCTCCCTCCCTCCCTCCCTCCTTCTCTCAATGTAAGGATGAAAGAAAAAGGGAGAAAAACATTTGTGGTTGCCACAAGTAGAAAGCAAATTGACAGCACATAATCAGTCCATCAATCAATCAACAAACCAACCAACCAATCAAATGAAAAGTGGTGGTATCATTTTTTTTGTCCAGGTGTCCTTACTTGTTGGTCATAATTCACCAGCTAAAGGCTCAGGGCATACTTGGATAATACTTGCATGGCATTTTTAGCTTTTAGCTTCTTCTGTCTCTAGCATACTTCTGCAATTTAATCTGGAGTACAGAATGGTTTCCTATTGCTATGTTGCTGCTATTTTTAACTTCAAAATTATCTGTTAAATAGAGATAGATAAAAAGCATTGTAAAGAGATAACCCAGGTTGTGATGAGAAAACTCAGGATGATTAATCTGACTCACATGTGGCTGAAGACAAAAGCATCTGGAAAACGGGTTGGGAAACTAAAAGTCTGAAGGTTATGTAGTGAATGCTGGGAAATAATCTTTGGCAATGTTTTTATTTTTCAGGTACCTGTTAAAAATGGTCTCCCTTTTGTTTGGAACCTTTTGGGATGGGCGAGTTCTCTTTACCTTTTTAACTCTATATTCTTTTCAGATCATTAAGATGGGGGGGGGGCCTTCATGATCAGAAATTCAGCAATCAATTAAAGAGGACACCACAAAACATCTGGATGCTTGAAAGACATCACATGATGCTCCTCAATACCAGCTGTGACTTTCACACAACATAGAGTACATTGAACTGCAACTTCAATGCTGCTGAGGGAATATACTAGGGATTTGGCTAGCTAGATATACCAATATCAGTAGTGTGAGAACAGACAGTTTTTAATTTTTTGATTTAAAAAAACTAAATTACATTTAATATAGCTTACCTTCATAAGCCAAAAATCCCATGCCTCCTGTGAGCATAACCAAATATATTATGAATACAGACCAAACACAGCATCTGCAAGTCTTTTTCTTATCTTTTGGTTCTAAAATTTGGGGAAAAACAAAATATACAGAGTAATGTAAGTCCATCATTTGGCTCTACAAGTGACTGAAACTACCATTATTGGTCAAATAATGATAGTTTCAGACCATAATAATCTTCTACACAAAATGTTATAAAACATGGATCCTACTGAATAGCAGGATTAAAACAGGTTATCCTTCATTGGTATGTTTAACAGAGAGTTAATTGCTTAATTTCTAGACAAAAGGCGGTGTAAACTAGAATAGAATAGAATTCTTTATTGGCCAAGTGTGATTGGACACACAAGGAATTTGTCTTGGTGCAAATGCTTTCAGTGTACATAAAATAAAAGATGCATTTGTCAAGAGTCAAGAATCATCAGGTACAACACTAAATAATAGTCATAGGATACAATAAGCAATCAAATAATACTAGGAAACAGTCGTAAGGATACAAGTGACAAAGTTACAGTCATACAGTCACAAGTGGGAGGGGATGGGTGATAAGGAGTGATGAGAAGATTAATAATAATAGTAGTGCAGACTTTGTAAATAGTTGGACAATGTTGAGGGAATTATTTGTTTAGCAGGGTGATCTTGTTCAGGAAAAAACTGTCCTTGTCTCTAGTTGTTCTGGTGTGCAGTGCTCTATAGCATCATTTTGAGGGTAAGAGTTGAAACAGTTTATGTCCAGGATGTGAGGCGTCTGTAAATATTTTCACAGCCCTCTTTTTGACTCGTGCAGTATACAGGTCCTCGGTTGAAGGCAGGTTGGTAGTCATTGTTTTTTCTGCAATCCTAATTATCCTCTGAAGTCTGTGTCTGTCTTGTTGGGTTGTAGAACCAAATCAGACAGTTATAGAGGTGCAGATGTTAGACTCAATAATTCCTCTGTAGAACTGTATCAGCAGCTCCTTAGGCAGTTTGAGCTTTCTGAATTGGTGCAGAAAGAACATTCTTTGTTGTGCTTTTTTGATGACGTTTTTGATGTTAGGTGTCCATTTTAGGTCTTGTGATATGATAGAACCTAGAAATTTGAAGGTCTCTACTGTTGATACTGTGTTGTCTAGTATTGTAAGAGGTGGTAGTATGGGAGGGTTTCTTCTAAAGTCTACCACCATTTCTATGGTTTTGAGTCTGTTCAGTTCAGATTGTTCCATTTACACCATGAGGCAAGTTGTACAACATCCTGTCTGTATGCGGATTCGTCATTGTCTCGAATGAGACCAATCACTATTGTGTCATCTGCAAACTTCACTATTTTAATAGATGGATCATTTGAGATACAGTCATTGGTATACAGGGAGAAAAGAAGTGGAGAAAGCACACAGCCTTGAGGGGTCTCTGTGCTAATTGTACAGGCATCAGATGTGATTCTGCCTAGCTTCACCTGCTGCTTCCTGTCTGTTAGGAAGCTTATGATCCACTTACAAGTGTGTTCAGTAGGGGTGGGCTTCTACCAGTTCTGTCCACCTCTGTAGAACCGGTAGCTCTGAAGAGCAGCAGACATAGAACTAATTCTATGTCTGCTGATGTTTTTGCCCACCCGCCCACCTGGGCTCTTACCTGACCTTTATTTCCTGATTTTTTCAAATTCAGCTGCAGTGCGAGGCACAGCTGCAGTTAAAAAAACAGGAAAAAAGGGCTTTTTGAAAGGCTGCTTCTCTGCACACAGCATGCTGATGACAATTTACAGGCGCGCGCCGGCAGCGTGCGGGGAAGCACATCGTAAATCACCAAACCTCGTAAATGACCGAACTGGTAGTTAACGCTGTCGGATCCCACCCCTGGTGTTCAGGTACCATTAGTTGGTTTAATTTACTTAGAAGAATGTCTGGAATGATGGTATTGAATGCTGAACTGAAGTCTACAAAGAGGACCCTTGCTTAGGTAGTTGGAGAATCAAGGTGTTGAAGGATATAGTGCAGAATCATATTAACAGCATCATCTGTCAATCGGTTTGCTTGATATGCAAACTGCATGGGATCTAACAGCAGATCTGTGATATTTTTCAGGTGGGACAGCACTAGCCTTTCAAAGGTTTTCATAACTACAGATGTTACAGCAACTGGTCTGTAGTCATTCAGTTCCGTGATGGAGGGGTTCTTTGGCACTGGGATGATGATAGAGCATTTGAAGCAAGAAGGAACATAGCACATCTCTTGTGATTTATTGAAGATTCGGGTGAAGATGGGGGCCAATTGGTCAGCACAGACTTTTAAGCAACTATGGTGTAGGTATAAACTATTTAAGCTTATTTTGAAGTATATTTGATTATTCAAATTTCTAAAGACATCTTCTCAGAACTACAATCAACAAATGACAATCTCCCAAGAACTCACGTCTTACTACTCATTTTCACTATCTTTTACTATAAAAGTTTTGTAACTTAGTGACATACTAGTCAATCAATATAAAAGTAAACCAAACTAAGCAATATAATTTTGCTTATTAGGATATTTTGACATGACCTGTGACAACAACCAGCTGAATAAATGTTGAAAAATCTGACAAATTTGATATAGGGGCACAGCACGCTGAACAATTCTGGGGAAGTCAGTTCTTGCACTCATGTCCATTTGAAAAGTCCTATTGACAGAATCTCACTTTGAAGGGACAACAACCCCCATCAGTAAAATTTGTGTGTATTTTCTCACAAAACTCTTTCCTTGTCACTACAAATAGTTATAATGAAAACCTTGCCTGTGTGAAAAATAGCACAGTGTGCCACAGCACTTTATGAAAGGCAATTTTAAATTCATCCTTGATTAATATTTAATGAGACTTCTGCTGATTCCTCTAAGAATATCTTTTAGCAAATGAGATGGTTCAACAGCACATTTCATTTATCTCTTTCCTCTGTGAAATTCACAGAACTGAAAAGATGACCAATATTCTTATCGACATGGTGTTCAAAGTACATATGTATGTCAAAAAAAAAAAAAAAAAAGGTCAGGTTGATGGTTGCAACTATGCACCTGAAGCCCCACTGCTATGCATATGCATAGTAGTCCAGGCACATACAAAAGGATAGCAACTTCAATTAGCAGACATAATCCCCATTTTGACTTTTTTGTATGGCAATGTGCAAAAGTGGTTTGTCATTGCTTTCTTCCAGGACATATTTTTAATGCCTATTCTAGCCATTAGCTTTGGACATCTCAGTGGTCCCAATCTAAGTCATAACCAGGACCTGTCCTGCTTGGTTTCTGATTTCTGGTTCCTCAGCTAAATTCTGGATAAAAAGTATTCATCCGTGTGTGTGCTCTTCCATGCTACTGAATGAATAGTCTTCCTCAGAAACCACTTATGCATATCCCAAAGGTGCTTTTCCAAATGGCTACTGGACTTCCTTGGGGTGTCCCCCCCCCCACTTTCAAGAGGTTTTGCTTCTCCTACAAGAAGCTTCTTCAGTTCTGATTCTTTAGAACTTTAGATTCTAAAAACTTTCAAATTCTAAAATTCTATAAAGGTGGACCGGTTGCTTTTGTGGTGTGGAGACAACAACTTGGTCCTCAACACCAATAAGACCAAGGAGCTTATAGTGGATTATAGAAGGAACAGATCAGACATCGAGCCCTTGCTTATCAATGGAGACCGAGTGGAGCAAGTGGCCAGTTTTAAGTTTCTGGGTGTTACCCTAAAAGAGGACCTGACCTGGGGTGCTCACATTGCAGACCTGGTCAAATGGGCCAGCAGAGATTATATTACCTGAGACTTCTCAGAAATCAACAACCGAATAAAAAAACTGCTGCTGACCTTCTACCGCTGCACCATAGAGAGTATTTTAACTTAATGCACCTCTGTGTGGTTTTCCAATTGCACAGTGGCAGATAGGAAAGCACTTCAGAGGGTTAATGTCATTGTCCAGAAGATCATTGGTTGCCCTCTCCCCTCTTTGGAAGAGCTTTATAGCTCCTGCTGCCTTAAGAAAGTTCAAAACATTCTCAAAGATCCATCTCATCCTGGGAACCTTTTTTTTTTTTGGAACTATTACCATCTGGCAGTTGGTACAGAATAATAAAAACAAGGACAAATAGGCTGAAAATCAGCTTCTATCCCAGGGCAGTAGCTCTGTTGAATTCTACTGTATAGTGCAGTGTTGGTGCGGTGTCTGGGGTTTTCGGTTCAATGTGTGGAGTGTGAAGGATGTGTGTTTCTGTTTATTTTCATGGTCATGATGTGCACTGAAGATGGTGTTTGATTTCATTGTATAAGGTGCAATGACAATAAACTAAAGTAAAATAAACTAAACTAAACTTTAGATTCTTTAGAAAGCAAAATGTTTTCAAGGAAAATAGAATAAGAAAATCCAGTTTCCTTTTGGAAAAGCACCTGGGGACAATCATAACCTGGATGGTTGAGAATCCCTATTATGCATGTATACACATATTTGCATAGACACAAAGCCATCACATATATGCCATGACCAAGACTACAATCCAAATTTAGGAATATAATCTTGGTCATGAAATTCCATCCCACCCTTCCATATTTTTATGTCACTGCCTTAAAATAATGCCCTTTAATGCACTAACAAATGAATTCCATTTATAAAAGACAAATTTGTACTAATCGCACAAATTCTCACTTAGAATTCGCACAAATTCTTAGATATTTTGATCTAAGCATACATGATCATCAAATAGTAAAAAAAAATACTTTACCACTAATTTGAAATGATGTGATTCCAGAAGATGCAAAAGTCATCTTATCTGACAATGAGAATATTTTGTTGTCATCCTCAGTGAAGTTATTGAAGTTCTCCATGATCAAAGTTTTACTGTAAACTGCAATCCTATCAGGATAAATTTACTAGTTTTATCTCCTGGAAATACATCTTATTACAAGAACTCTTGCCATTGGCTGGATTTTATTTTTTACTAGACTTGCAAAAAAGAAAAGGAAAAAAAAATCCCTAGCAGAGTGCCTTTTGCACTTCCTCCAAAAAATGTCCAAGCATGGGCTGGTGAATATACCCTTTGATATTAAAGATTAAAAGGTAGAGCTAAAAACTAAAATCCTTAATCTGAAATGTGACTCTTGTCATTTGCACAACGATTTTGAAATCTTGAAATCTCTTTGACGCCTCATGCTTATGTAAAGGCATGTCTATATGTTTAACTCAGCATTATTTTACGAATAGGAGTGATTGCAGCAAATAATGGACTGTAACTATCATTGTGCAATGAGAGAACTGCAGGAAGAAAAATGCTGAAGCAGTGGGAAATTGGGGTGGAGGGCTTGCACAAGAAGAAAAGGTATTAATAGCTCAGTCTAGAACTTCTCCCTGGTCCCATGAGCACCTTGAGAGAGACGCGGGACAAAACAAAATAGAGGAAATGGAAAAAAAATATAGCTAAGCCACCAATACAAACGATGACACTCCAAACCATATAATGATGCAAATTACTGTAATAAAATGTTGAGAAAAGCGATAAGGAAAGACCAAGAATAGGAATGTGGCAGTGAGTTTGCATCATGACTAATATAGACCTGCGGTTAGGAGAAAATATTCTTACTATTGGCTAAAAAGAATTAGCCAATATTGAATACGCAGAGGCTATATATATTCCCCCGCCCCTGCCCCATCTTGAATAATATTGAAGTTTCTTTGGCTGATGGTTTTGTTTCTATGAGAGCATGCCAGGAATCCCAATTTTTTTATGCGGCTGAAAATTCTTCAGAAGCAGGGCTGTTCAAATTGTGTTTTGTAGCAAATGCAACATTAGAACATCAGGGAGGTATTTCACTTTTTCGGCCTCCTCTGCTTAGTGCAGGGGTGTCAAACTCATGGCATCACGTTGTCATCACGTGACAGATTGTGTCTCCCCCCCCCTTTGCTACACCGGGGTTGGGCGTGGCCAGCGCATGCAAGTTGCGAGTTTGGCCTGCGAGTTGCAAGTTTGACACCCCTGGCTTAGCACAACTAACTAATTAACTAAGTTCCTTATCAAACATGTGCTATGCCCTCATTAGTCCAGATAGATCAGAGGTCTCCAACCCCTGGTTCAGTCTGGTACTGGTCTGTGGCCTGTTAGGAACCGGGATGCCCAAGTGGTGGGTGAGCATGCAAAGCTCCACCTGTGCATGCCGTTACACATTGCAAAACCATCCCCTCCCCTCCCTGCCATCGCCACTGCCCGCCACCACCAGTTCGCAAATCTCGAAAGGTTGGGGACTGCTGAGCTAGATAATATCTACTGTGAATAGGGTCACAAAAGCCCTCCTTTCAGTGATTGTATTCTCTTATTTTAGTTTTGATAGGTTCCTCCATCCTCTGCCATATCATATTCTATACAGTATTCCTGGTATATTTGCAAAGTATTCTTCAGTTGTACCCTGAGCAGTTTTGCATTTTCCCATCACAACAATAGGAATAAAATGAAATTTCTTTCCACTACATACTGTTGTATGTATTAACATATTAGGAACAAGCCCATTTATCAGAGAAAAACAACTCCAGAAAATGGGCTTAATTCAGTAAGCATGTTAAATGCATTATGCAAACCCCACACATATCAAGTTGCATATTAGTGCATACTACTAGATTTTTATCTAGTTCTATTACTCAAAGTTTATGAGGAATGACTGTTATCTTGATATAAACAATTGCAGTATCATCACAGAATAGCTTGCTTGACGAAGAGAGCATTCTGGACCTTTGAAGGAGAAAGTCAGTTAAACTATTTTGGGGAAAAACCTAGCAGTATGATTTTTTTCAAGGCACTTGGCCAACAAGCAAAAGGCAATCACTTGGTCTACCTCAGTGGACAGCCATTCCAAATTTAGAGGGAAATGCGGTTGTAAAAAAGTTTGAGATTTTTAAATAATTGATTAACATTATTTTGTACTCCAATGTATCAGGACAAGAGGAAAGGAAGGTAATAATGTAGTCTCTTCCTGCCTTATGATTCTGTAACTTTGAAACAACATTATTTTCATTGGCTGTATTCCTCATTTATTTTTGTTTCATTTCAACCTACTTCACAGGTGAACTTGTGACTTCTTAAAGATCAGAATTGGGTACAGAATCCTAATCATCAAATTATTTACCATGGTCAACCACATGTAAGGGCAATTGGTCCTAGTGTTGATATAAATTGCTCTGTTATTTTGCTATTTTCTGACTTGAGCATGCTAATTTTTCTGTGGAATGCTAACTAAAGAACAGCTAAGTGTCTTGTTAGCTACACTTCTCAATGTACATGCATAATATATCCTGATTCCACTTGCCAATGCTACAGCAGAAACAGAGCCATCATTGCTATCCAAGAAGATCAAGATCAAGCACATATGAAGTATATCCATGCCACTCTTGAGGTTTAAATCTGGACCACAGTGTCAAGATTCAGCTGATTTCTCAGAATACACACACCATCTAGTAAAATATATCTTGGTATACAGACTCCCTTCTTATTCATCCTGACTGATTCCATGCCTACTTGGCAGTTAGCTACAAGGAGCTCGAATTGTGTGTGCTTTGTGTGCATATGTGTTTTTCACGTAAAAAATAAAAAGAAAGAGAAAAAAAGAAAGAAAGAAAGAAAGAAAGAAAGAAAGAAAGAAAGAAAGAAAGAAAGAAAGAAAGAAAGAAAGAAAGAAAAGAAAGAAAGAAAGAAAGAAACCACAAACTACTGCCTTCTCTACTCTTCTTTTTTTTTTTTTGTGTAGAAAAACTACAATTTTAGGGAGTTTTGTAGGATAACTCAAATATTAAAGATGAACCAGGCTGATATATTAATACATATTTATGCTTAGAGAAACAAACAAACAAAAAATCAGTACACAACTTTATCAAAGGAGCTGTTTGTGCACAGAACACAAGGCATATTCTTTACACTTCAAGATTCATAAAGGAAAGAATTTACTGACTGTTTCTAAAGAGGATGCTCCAGAAATCCCCCCCCCCCGTTTTTTCAGAATCTGTAAATTTAATCCTACAGTTTCTGAAGGAAGTCTTGCAATTGTCTCATCATCATTTTGTGGGGTTATGTAAAATGCTAGTACAGCAGTAAACTTAGTAACTAAGAACAGTTCTTCTCACCCTGGTATGCTTCCAATAAGGGACTGCTACTCACCAATACTTCTTTGACATACAGAGGGTTAAGTCAAGAGTCAAAGGATCTTTTTCTCCAGCCATAACTGTACTTCAATTTTTTTTTAAAAAACAAACACCTCTATAGTTGCCTCAGTCACAGCAAGTCCATGAGGCAGCCTCTGAAATGTACTTATATACAATGAACATTTTATGTGGAAGTCATAATATTTTTTTAAAAATATTTGAGTACATAATTCATCTATGGATAACGAGTCTGCTGATATTTGACATATCTTTAATTTTTTAAAAAAAAATGATTATGTTTCAGCAAAAGCTGATTATTTGCCAAAGTTATCTACCCTCTTTATACATGCTATGGTTTCTACAGAAAAAAAAAGGCTCCCAAAAGCACTCATACAGAAGAGAGGTTTATACAAAGAGTATATGCTGCTATTTGTTCATTTCCGAAAGTGTTGAATTGATCTAGCATGCTTCATTCCGGTCCAGTAGCATCCTCAGCTCTGAATAGCTACAGCATCTCAAATGCCATCCTCTCCCGCAGCTGGTCATTGGCCCATACAAATAATTTATCCTGAGCTCCCAGGCTCCTTAACTGGTAGGCAGTTTCCTTCCCCCTGCCCCCCCAGATTGGTCTAACAATGGCCCATAAAAATGGGGGTAAAATCTCTTGGCTGTCCTATTTTCCCCAGCTCTCCTGCTCTCACAACTGTGTTCAAATCTTACATCTTTACATTTGGGCACACTGAGTAAAGGTTGGATAAAGCAAATACTCCTTTGTTCCAAAAAGGTGCTTCTTGGATGAGAAGTGAAACTTTTTTAAGGAAAAAAAAAACACCAAGAAAACCCAACTGCCTTTTAGAAAAGCACCTTTGGGGAAATCATGACCCAAATGATTAGGAATCTCCATAGACGAACTGCTTTCCAATCCTGTCCAATGGTTCCCACGTCTCCTTCCTTTTGTTTAAATCTCTCTTCACCATCTTAGATAGGCATGTTGCCACAAAGCTATGGAATTTCATCGACTGCTACTTCTTTCTTCTGAACCAGGTTTTTTTTTTCTTGCATTCATGTTTGGAATGAAGGAATCATCCATTTCTTGCTTTGATTATTGTGTCATCAGAGTAACAGTGGTACAACAAAGGGAAACAATGACTCCAAAGGAGAAAATTTGGGAAGGGAGGATGAAAACATCTGGGAAAGTAGAAGGAAAGAGCTGGGACTCTCTCTGGGAAAGAATTGGAGGGTGCAAAAAGCTGGGAAGGTAGAGGGAAGTTGCAGAGAGTAGTGAGGAAGGAATAATCCTTAAAAGTAAAAGGCAGAATCTTGAAGGCAGGAAGGAAAGGAATTACCAACTGGGGATTGTATGGCCATACCCTGGACTAAGCACTTGTTCCTTACTGAAAGACAAACTAGCAAACATCTAAGGAAAGTTCTTTGTCCTTCAGTTTTCCTTTTATTTGGAGTTCGATTTGAGTTCTGAAAAGATTGGCAGAATGACAGTGTTGATTAGCTGTCATACTTGTCATCCTAATTTCTAGCTTTCTCTTTCTTCTGTGGCTGGCAGGAGTCATAGTATTGTGTAAATTGGGACAATATCACTTTCAGCATTAGCAATTTGGATTTTTTTTTCTAGTTTTTGCAGAAACAGCTACCTCTCTTGTTTTATCGGTCAGGACAAGAGTATCTGAACTTTGGCTGAGGTCATATCTAATAGCCAC